CGTCGGGGGTGACTGTGCTCTTGGCACGGACGTCCTTGAGGACAGGCAGGAGGAGTTCCAGTGCTTTGCCGCCGCTTTGCCCCATCTCGTGTCCATGCTTGTTGCCCCTGAGGGAGACCCGGATGCTCTAGACATCCCGACCCCACGCTCTTACGCAGAGGCGATGGCCGGTCCCTACTCCTCTCAGTGGCAGTCAGCCATGGACGCAGAGATGGCTTCCTGGAAGTCCACAGGCACCTACGTTGACGCTGTCCCCCCTCGTGGGGCGAACATCGTCAGTGGCATGTGGATCTTCAGGGTGAAGCGGCCGCCGGGTTCTCCGCCTGTCTTCAAGGCGCGTTACGTGGCTCGTGGCTTCAGTCAGCGACAGGGAGTTGACTTCTTTCAGACCTTCTCCCCGACCCCGAAGATGACCACTCTTCGGGTTCTACTGCACGTCGCTGCTCAGCGTGACTACGAGCTACACTCTCTTGACTTCAGCATTGCTTTCCTGCAGGGCCGCCAGCACGAGGAGATCTGGCTGCGCCGCCCTCCTGGCTTCACTGGGTCGTTCCCTCCTGGTACCCAGTGGAGCCTCCGGCGGCCAGTCTACGGTCTCCGCCAGGCGCCGCGTGAGTGGCACGACACACTGAGGACTACACTTGCGGCTCTTGGGTTTGCTCCTTCTACTGCTGACCCGTCGCTGTTTCTGCGCACCGACACCTCGCTGCCGCCGTTCTACATCCTCGTGTACGTCGACGACTTGGTCTTTGCCACTGCGGACACTGCCGCACTCGCCCACGTGAATTCCGAGCTGCAGAAGAGACACACGTGCACAGACCTGGGTGAACTGACAAGCTATCTTGGCTTGCGGATCACCCGGGACAGAGCACGCCGCACCATTACCCTGACTCAGTCACACATGGTGCAGCAGGTCCTTCAGCGCTTCGGCTTCACGTACTCCTCGCCTCAGTCCACTCCTCTGCCTACGGGACACTCGCTCTCAGCTCTGCCTTCGGATGAGTCCGTAGAGTCGAGTGGTCCGTATCCAGAGCTTGTGGGCTGCCTCATGTACCTGATGACCTGCACTCGACCTGACCTCGCATACCCTCTCAGCATCTTAGCACGCTATGTTGCTCCCGGCCGTCACCGGAAGGAGCACATGGATGCAGCTAAGAGGGTGTTGCGCTACTTGTGCAGTACGTCGGGCATGGGGCTAGTGCTTGGAGGGCGTGAGCGGCCTGTGCTCACTGGGCACTCAGACGCTTCTTGGGCTGACGACCAGGCTACTCAGAGGTCGTCTCAGGGTTACACCTTCAGTCTTGGCTCTGGCTCTGTCTCTTGGCACTCAACTCGCTCTTCTTCGGTTCTCAGCTCCAGCTGTGAGGCTGAGATCTACGCCACGGCCATCGCTGCCCAGGAGCTTCGCTGGCTCACCTACCTGCTGACTGACCTTGGAGAGCGGCCTCGTTCTCCTCCAGTGCTGTACGTCGACAACAAGGCAACCATTGCCTTGTGTGAGGAGCACAGACTGGAGCACAGGACGAAGCACATTGCTCTGCGCTACTTCCTTGCTCGAGAGCTGCAGCAGCGTGGTCAGCTTCGCCTGCGTTTCGTGGCCACTGAGGCCAACACTGCTGATGTGTTCACCAAGGCACTTCCGCCTCGTGACCATCAGCGCTTTTGCACTCTGCTAGGCCTTGTGCCCACTGGGCCTCACTTGCTTACGTCTTGACCTTGCTTGTACTGCTGCATATATATATCCTTGCTCTTGCTTGTTTAGCACTGTTATATATATATGCTCTGCTGCATGTGAACTGGCCTTGTGGCCTTGACCTTGTGCTCGGAATTTGTGTGGTATCCTTGAGATCCACCCTATCTAGGCCTCGTCACTTCCATTCAGTAATTCAGTAATTGAGTACTCAATCATTCTCGATATTCGTTTTACTGCGCACTCTGCAAGTTCATTCATAACAAACTAGCTGTTCCTCCCACAAAGCGTCCCGTGAATTTCGCTTGATGCGCGGCAGATTCAAAACGCTTTACGATCAGGTAGACGATTGGTCCAATAACACTGACTCGAGTCTCGTCCAATTCATTCTGTCTACCGCACTCGACCTACAGATCGCATGCTATTCGTTCCTTTAATTCCATTTCCACCGAGCGCCATCCACGATGAGTGATTTGCGGGCGAATCGAAAGCACCATTCTCGTCCTCCCGTTGTGAATCTCACATCTCATTCCCGTCAGTCTGATAGTTATTCACTCGTCATTCTTTGATCGTGGTGATTCCAGCTGCAGTTTCTTATCAGAGCATGCCATCGCGTCGGTAGTTGTGCATCAGCTGCTCGTGCTGTGTGGGCGTCCTAGGGACACAGGCATCAGCGCCAACGGTATCAGCGGGAACGCTCCTCACATGTGGCCTCTACAAAATGTGGGGCCACAACAACCATGCACGAAACCCGCTTTGCCCCACCCATGCCCAGCGGCGATTGCCGAAGCAATGTACAAACACTCAAAATACAGTGGTAGGCAAGGATGTTCAATGCTCAAACATTGCACTCACATTGCATACCTGTCTTCGCCCTTGCACATTGTATCCAACCCCTTCCACATTGTGTCCCCGTAGCCCCTAGCTGTTCGCATACAACCCGCCCCGCACGTGCCAAATTGGGCTGGTACAGCGAATTATTTCGGTTGTGTTGGGTGTACAGTGGTGTCCAACTTGCATGAATCTGAGTCTGAATTCGCATCGACGGAAATTTAGTGGCGTTATAACAGGACTGACTACATCTACATTGGATAAGGTGTTGCTGACGCGTCACTTTTGAAGGTGCGCTGTCAAAATGAGATGTGACAGCGCTGATGTGGTTTGGATTAGTGTGGCGAACAGAAACCAAGACATTATAGGGTTTCCATCTCGCTAGTTTCGTCAAGGTACTTGTGAACCCACAGTAGCGAAAACTTCAGACCTCACCAGGTTTGAATAATCACTCCATTTCATCCAATTTTCGCCCAAGCGAAAACGAGGGCTTTTGGCGTGTGATGCTCCTCTCCGGCTCCTTCAAACTTCATCCACAGCTCAACACCCGTTCATTTTCACATCTCACGGTTTCTGTCTACCGTTTCATACACTCGATCAGCTTCTGCGGTGCTCTTCCTGCTCCTACCTCTCCTTCACTGCGTCATAAACACGATTCAAATATGTGTGACGATTTCTGTTCTTACATCCTCCCTCTTGCAGATACGGAAAGTCTGCTGTGGCGGACGGTTTCTGCTGCGAAATTTTACCGGCTGCACGAAGCTCGAGATTAGGATACCTTCTCACGCCTTCCTCCCCACTGGTAGGTTCATGATCAACTCAGGTGAGTTTCGTTTTCAGCCAAATACGCATTGTCTACTGCGCAACCTTGTTTTACATATTTTCTTTTGCAGAATACCAGCGCGCTTGACAGCGCTCTACATCAGCGACTTCCGAGATTATCGCCAAGCGAAATTTATTGCTAAGTTGATATTCTCCTGAAATTTTATCACCGAGCTTATCACGGTTCCTAGAGGAGTTTCATGGGATGCTCTTCCGAGCATGTCAATGGCATCCATGATCGATAGGTTCATGTGTGGTTTTATGGTTTGGCCATGCATGTCCTCTCTCTGTGTTCTAACTCTGGTGGTGTTCTGCAGAGCCCTCGTTGCGCCCGGAATAAGCTGTAACCGGTAGTTAATGCATTTTATGTACCTGTGTGTGAATCATCATGAACGCGGGTATATAAATAGGATGTTAGGTCTTGTAGCTATTGATAAGGCGGATCGGGTATTGTGATCATTGCTGTAAGGTTGAGTTGAATTGTAACTTTGGGATTACTAATTTCCTGCCGGGGATTCATTTCATAAGTGGCAAGAAGTTGCTATTTGCATGAAACCTAGTGTGTGAACAGCGTTTTGTATTCTGCATTTTCCAATTGTTTGTATTAGATCATACTGAGATCCGTGTACTGTGATGATTGATCCGTTAAAAAGTTCCCTTATATGACGATTTTCCAGTTGCTTTAGTGAGGATGAGCAATGTTGGGTGTATGCTGGTGCACTCCTTGCCGAGCCTACTCAAGATTGCTTAGGCAAACGTTTCAATGATTCCTCTAACAAACCTGCACTGTTGAGCATTCATCATGATAAACCACGAGCATTGATGGCAGGGGAAAACCTCAAACAATCCCCGAAGAATAATTTTGCATTCTTTTTCCTTCCCAGATTTTGTAGAGGCGTCTATGACATCCGCAAGGGCCAAGCCACGAGGGCAGGGTGGACGTCGGCATCAGTGATTCACCTGATGATCACAGCACCGTGAAGGCAGAGTGCACCACGATCGAGTTGAGCAGCGTCAACCAGAGCTGCAGCAACATTTCAAGGAGGTGCGGCACCATGGAAATTGGCGTCAGCCGAAAGAGCGGACATCCCTGGAAGAACGACGTCGCGTTACGCGGCGACAGCGTAAGACGCGGTGACAGCGCAAGACGCGGCGACTGCGCAAGACGCGACGACAGCGCAAGACGCGGCGACTGCGCAAGACGCGGCGACTGCACAAGACGCGGCGTCAGGGCAAGACGCGGCGACTGCGCCAGACCCTGCGACAGCGCAAGTCGCGGTGATATCGCAAGCAAAGGCGGCTTCGCAAGCACGAGGGGGGCCAGTGGCGTCATCGCGAGCACCAGCGGGGCCACCGGCGACGCGCTCTCTCGCGGGCTTACGGCGACGCGCTCTCGTGCGGGCTTAGCGCCGACATTCCTTACAACGGTGGCATCGGCGACAACGAATGCGCTGCGACCCCGCTTGCAGATCTTCCACTCACGTGGACACCACTTACATCGGCAGTAGCGGCGAAGACGCGTCCGCCAAGGTATGTGTTTGTTTCCGCCTTGGGCGCCTGCGCGTGTCACCATATCTTATCATCTCCGCATCGTTGTCGTTTAGACCCTTTCTTTTTTATTATATGATTAGTTCGTCCACGCCTCAACACAAAGCGAATGCGTTTCACAAACATTCTACCGCTTGCAGATCTTCCGCTCACGTGGACACCACTGACATCGGCAGTAGCGGCGAAGACGCGTCCGCCAAGGTATGTGTTTGTTTCCGCCTCGGGCGCCTGCGCGTGTCACCATATCTTATCATCTCCGCATCGTTGTCGTTTAGACCCTTTCTTTTTTATTATACGATTAGTTCGTCCACGCCTCAACACAAAACGAATGCGTTTCACAAACATTCTACCGCATGTATGTTTGCAGATTCGCCTCTCACTGTCAATCCCTCTTTCTTTTAGTACATCTACCCAGCTACTCCCTAACATCTCGTTATCTTCATCAGTTTACCCCTTTCGTCTGCGTGCACTGGCTTTTGCTCCCACATCCTCTCTCGCGCGCGCTCTGATTCATTCCCTCTCTCTGCGTTCCCTCTCTCTCCGTTCCCTCTCTCTACGTTCCCTATCTCTCCGTTCCCTCTATCGCCCTTCCCTCTCTCTCCGTTCCCTCTCTCTCCGTTCCCTCTCTCGCCGTTCCCTCTCTCGCCGTTCTCTCTCTCTCCGTTCTCTCTCTCTCTCTCTCTGTTCCCTCTCTCTCCGTTCCCTCTCTCTCCGTTCCCTCTCTCTCCGTTCCCTCTCTCTGCGTTCCCTATCTCTCCGTTCCCTCTCTCGCCCTTCCCTCTCTCTCCGTTCCCTCTCTCTCCGTTCCCTCTCTCGCCGTTCCCTCTCTTGCCGTTCCCTCTCTCTCCGTTCCCTCTCTCTCCGTTCCCTCTCTCTCCGTTCCTTCGGTCTCCGTTCCCTCTCTCTCCGTTCCCTCTCCCTCCTTTCCCTCTCTCGCCGTTCGCTCTCTCCGTTCCCTCGGTCTCCGTTCCCTCTCCCTCCGTTCCCTCTCTCTCAGTAACCTCTCTATCTGTTCCCTCTCTCTCCATTCCCTCTCCCTTTGTTCCCTCTCTCTCCGTTCCCTCTCTCTCCGTTCTCTCTCTCTGCGTTCCCTCTCTCTCCGTTCCCTCTCTCTTCGTTCCCTCTCTCTCCGTTCCCTCTCTCTCCGTTCCCTCTCTCCCCGTTCCCTCTCTCTCCGTTCCCTCTCCCTCCATTCCCTCTCTCGCCGCTCCCTCTCTCTCCGTTCCCTCTCTCCGTTCCCTCCCCCTCCGTTCCCTCTCTCTCTGTACCCTCTCTATCCGTTCCCTCTCTCTCCGTTCCCTCTCTCTCCGTTCCCTCTCTCTCCGTTCCCTCTCTCTCCGTTCCCTCTCTCTCCGTTCCCTCTCTCTCCGTTCCCTCTCTCTCCGTTCCTTCGGTCTCCGTTCCCTCTCTCTCCATTCCCTCTCCCTCCTTTCCCTCTCTCGCCGTTCGCTCTCTCCGTTCCCTCGGTCTCCGTTCCCTCTCCCTCCGTTCCCTCTCTCTCAGTAACCTCTCTATCCGTTCCCTCTCTCTCCATTCCCTCTCCCTTCGTTCCCTCTCTCTCCGTTCCCTCTCTCTCCGTTCCCTCTGTCTCCGTTCCTTCGGTCTCCGTTCCCTCTCTCTCCGTTCCCTCTCCCTCCTTTCCCTCTCTCGCCGTTCGCTCTCTCCGTTCCCTCGGTCTCCGTTCCCTCTCCCTCCGTTCCCTCTCTCTCAGTAACCTCTCTATCCGTTCCCTCTCTCTCCATTCCCTCTCCCTCCGTTCCCTCTCTCTCCGTTCCCTCTCTCTCCGTTCCCTCTCTCTCCGTTCCTTCGGTCTCCGTTCCCTCTCTCTCCGTTCCCTCTCCCTCCTTTCCCTCTCTCGCCGTTCGCTCTCTCCGTTCCCTCGGTCTCCGTTCCCTCTCCCTCCGTTCCCTCTCTCTCAGTAACCTCTCTATCCGTTCCCTCTCTCTCCATTCCCTCTCCCTTCGTTCCCTCTCTCTCCGTTCCCTCTCTCTCCGTTCCCTCTCTCTGCGTTCCCTCTCTCTCCGTTCCCTCTCTCTTCGTTCCCTCTCTCTCCGTTCCCTCTCTCTCCGTTCCCTCTCTCCCGGTTCCCTCTCTCTCCGTTCCCTCTCCCTCCATTCCCTCTCTCGCCGTTCCCTCTCTCTCCATTCCCTCTCTCTCCGTTCCCTCCCCCTCCGTTCCCTCTCTCTCTGTACCCTCTCTATCCGTTCCCTCTCTCTCCGTTCCCTCTCCCTCCGTTCCCGCTCTCTCCGTCCCCTCTCTCTCCGTTCCCTCTCCCTCCGCCCCCTCTCCCTCCGTTCCCTCTATCTGCGTTTCCTATCTCTCGTTCCCTCTCTCTGCGTGCCCTCTCTCTCCGTTCCTCTCTCTCATTTCCCTCTCTCTGCCAGCCAGCCCCACAAAATCTCTGCACTTCCTTCACTCCTTCCCTCTCCCCTAACCCCCTGAAATTATATCGTTCCTAGATGGTCTCTCCCCGCTCTATCTGACCTTTCCCTTCTCTTGTAACCCCCACACTCTGCTGATCCTGTACTTGTGCATTGCAGATCAGGATGGGTATAAGGTGTCCTAAGTGCGACAACGCCGTCTTTGACTCGCGGCAAGCACTTAAGGGGCACCTAAGGGGGAACAAATGCAGAGGCAAAACGTCACAACCAAGCCGGACGGGAACCTCAACCGAGCCCGGCTCATCGAAACGTGCACGGCCTGATATCACGCCCTTGTATCCAAATCTGCCATCCGCTTCAACCAGCCCACCTCCTGACCAGCACGACGAGATACCTCACATCGAACACCTTGCTGTTGAACACGCTACTCCCCTTCCATCGTCACCGTGTTCTACACATTCGAGTGGTTCTAGTTTGGATAGATTGAGAATGAAAGCCTGCCATGTGATGATGATGTAATCTTGCATGATATAAGCAACTCGGAAGCCGGTTTGATGGGGGGGGAAGGCCAAGGAGGAGGGGGAGAAGATATACCCTCCATCCCCCCCTTTATATTTACCGACGCGCTTGCTCATTGGATCCTGTCGAACCGCTTGTCACAAAAGGAGAATAACAATCTTCTTGACATACTTAATCAAGCGGGCGCGAATCTAGAGCAGATTGCAGGATGGAAATCAGTAAGAGATGTTCAACGCCACGCCGAAGCGAGGACCCCGGATGCGCATCGCAAGTGGAAGTGGAAACTTATTCGATCGGCAAACAAAGGATGGTTGGAGTATTGGCATTGTGACGGTATTGTCGCACTTCAAGACCTATTTAAGCATCCGGAGTTGGGGAAGAGAATGGCCATGGAGGCAACTACTTTGTACAAGGGAACGGAGCGTGTTTACTCGACACCAGAGAGTGGATTGTGGTGGGAAACTCTACAAAAGGAGGTGCGGAAAGTTGACCCAAAGGGCGTGGTCGTCGGTCTAATCTTGGCGAGTGACGAGACGCATATGGATGGGCGTGGGAAGGCGAAAGGGCATCCGGTGTACTTAACCCTCGCCAACATCGACAAGGATGGTCGGTGGAAACCGTATGGCCATATCTTGTTGGCGTTACTTCCTCGATTCCCCAGCGATTACGAGGCGCTTGACAAGATACATGTGTTCAATAGCATCATGGACATCGTGCTAGCTCCACTGAAGCGAGCGTCATACACCGGGCTCACCATGAAGAACCATGTGGGAGAGGACATTAGAGTGTGGCCCTCCCTCTATGCCTACGTTAGCGACTATCCCGAATCTTGCAAGATCACATGCACAAAGTCCGGAAGCACCAAATACCCGTACTCCTTGTGCAAGGTGTCCAAGAAGAAACAAGCCTTGTATCAAGATCGGATAGATCCTCGTACGCCATATGAGCAAGCATCCATTGTGCGTGCACTTGTTGCAAAGACCATCAAGCCCGACTCTGACGATGCTTTGTCAACGCACCCTATCAAGGTGAGTCGGATAGGATACCTTCATGGGCCATAGTGTGACATCATGGGGCAGAGGGGAGCTTCATGGGGCACAGTGTGACATCATGGGGCAGAGGGGAGCTTCATGGGGCACAGTGTGACATCATGGGGGAGAGGGGAGCTTCATGGGGCATAGTGTGACATCTTGGGGCAGAGTGGAGCTTCATGGGGCACAGTGTGACATCATGGGGCAGAGGGGAGCTTCATGGGGCACAGTGTGACATCATGGCGGAGAGGGGAGCTTCATGGGGCATAGTGTGACATCTTGGGGCAGAGTGGAGCTTCATGGGGCACAGTGTGACATCATGGGGCAGAGGGGAGCTTCATGGGGCACAGTGTAACATCATGGGGCAGAGGGGAGCTTCATGGGGCATAGTGTGACATCATGGGGCAGAGGGGAGCTTCATGGGGCACAGTGTGACATCATGGGGCAGAGGGGAGCTTCATGGGGCATAGTGTGACATCTTGGGGCAGAGGGTACCTTCACGGGGCATAGTGGGACATCATGGGGCAGAGGGTAACTTCATTGGGCATAGTGGGACATCATGGGCAGTGAGGGGTGGAAATGGGCGTAGACAACGCATCTTCTCATATATGTTGCCGCTATCTACGTGTTCTTTTTATGTATGCAGTGTTTCCTTTGGGGATGGCGGTGGGAGTCGATCCCAATACTCAACCCATACCTGGCGGTCTTGCCCGACATAATGCACCAATCGGATCTCGGGATATTCGAGCACATTGTGGATTGTATGCGGGCCATGTACCCCAAGGATCTAGCTCGGAAAAAAATCCTTGACAAGCGACTGAAGTACTTGCGTACCCACCTACGAGGAGGGTGCATGCGGTTACCGTCGAGCGACTACTTTGCCAAAGGTGCAAACTACCAAGCCTATGAGCATAGATCCGTTATGCAGGTTCTACCATTCATAGCTACTGGATACCTCTCGTCCGGACAAATGGAGGCCCTGCTTGACTACATTGAGTGGTATCTCGAGTGTGCACGCACAAGCGAGCATACGGACAAAAGCCTGCTAGATTTGAAGACCAAGGCTTCAAGGTGAGCTTTTTTTCAACTATTATACTGTACTTGGATGCTTGACACAATCTATTGACCGCATTCTTTTCATTGTGGGCAGGATGATCGCGGGCCTCAAAAAGGAGTTCAAGCAAGCGTCTGAGTGGAACATTATAAAAATGCACCTCGTTAGTCACTATGTCGACTCCATTAAGCGCGCCGGTCTGCCCGAACATTACTGTGCACAACTCTATGAGCATTTGCACATAGAGTTTGTGAAGGTACCGTACCGAGCTTCAAACAAGAGGGACGTAAATGAGCAGGTGGTGCGTAGTGAGGAGTCGCGACTTCGCCTACGGTCGCTCGCACCCTTGATGGAGAAGACTAAGAAGTACGACACGGCCATGGTGAAGGTGAGAGGGGGGTGTGGGATGTATGGATGTACGACATGAGGGTTTATGCACCATCCATGTTGTCTATTCTTGCCCTATGCTACCCATCTCTGCCCCATGCTATACCCCACTGCCCCATGCGTTCCAGCTCTGCCCCATGCCATCCATCTCTGCCCCATGCTATACATCTCTGCCCCATGCGTTCAATCTCTGCCCCATGCTATCCCCCACTGCCCCATGCTATACCCGACTGCCCCATGTTGTCCATGTCTGCCCCATGCTACCCATCTCTGCCCCATGCTATCCCCCACTGCCCCATGCCATCCATCTCTGCCCCATGCTATACCCCACTGCATTATGAGTTCCATCTCTGCCCCATTCTATCCATCTCTACCCCATGCTATCCATCTCTGCCCCATGCTATACCCCACTGCATCATGAGTTCCATCTCTGCCCCATTCTATCCATCTCTACCCCATGCTATCCATCTCTACCCCATTCTATCCATCTCTACCCCATTCTATCCATCTCTGCCCCATGCTATCCACCCTTGTTTCCCATTTGCAGGCACAGAGGACTGGAACGCGGATCTTATCCCGTCGTAATTGGCGTTTGCACGTGCCACGGGATCGTGAGCGTGCGCCGTATGTCGAACCATGGAAGCCGGACGTGAAGCGTGATGCACCGCTGCAAGCATCGATTGGGCAAGATTTGCAGTACCTGAGAAAAGCCCTCGACCTTGCCCCGTGTTGCAATCGGCGTGGAGAGGAAATCAACGATGTCTGGGTGAGTCGGCATGATATATTTTCCAAATTTTCCTTGCGTTGACAGGTCATTTTGTCAGAATTTAATTAGTTCTCGGATTTTATATGATCGCTGCAGGTTCATTGGGAGCTGGCCATGCCGGCCGCGATCGGTGCGACTTATAGTCGCTTGCCACACCGTATACGAGCCATACCGAAACACCATGGCCGAGAATGGTATTCGGATGTTGCGGTCCAGGGTAAGGGAGCAGCAGGTTTGGAGGAGTGGTTTGCAAAGGTGTTGTTGTTGTTCCATGCACAAGTCGTTGGAACGACGCATGATTACGCCTACATTCGTTACTACGAGCGGCATGAAGCTCGCGACCCTACGACTCGATGCGTGGTTTTGAAATCAGCAACGAGCAGCGAGAGGTACCGGGTCATTGCAACTTCTAGCATTCTGAGAGCCATCCACCTCGTAAAGCCAAAGAGCAATGAGGATAGATGGCTTGTAAATAGGTATGCATGGTAGCCCAACTTATCACAGTCTTTTTCTCTTCAACTATCTGGTGCTAAACCCTTGGGTACTTGTAAAATGACTGGAAGATACGTATGAGGAGCTCACCCATGGCCTTGAATTGCACTTTCAAAACCCAAAATACATCTAAGAAATTTCACTTCTCACATCAGAAATGTTGTATGCAAGGTTGTGTGCGGTGCAGTTGTGCTGAGTTTGATCCCTTCCGAGCCACCACAAATTTTGAGCTGCTGGCTTTTGCCTTGTCTGTGCAGCAAATGGTCCACTTCCGTTCCAAGGCGTTCCAAATGTTGCGCAGCAACTTTTTGTCCTGTCTGTGTGGCTGACCATGCGCTGGCCTTCCGAGCTAACCCCATTGGTTGCTCCCATGCACATTAGCGAATGTGACGAGTCGTAAAATTTTTGTGGCGTAGCCGTGACATAGCGAATGTGACGAGTCGTAAAATGTTTGTGGCGTAGCCGTGACATCGCTGATGTCACGGCACATGTACAGCTCAGCGGAACACACTGTAAAACTGCGGATATTCCGCTGAGCTGTACGTCCACGCATTGGGCAGGAACCAATTCTGTTTCGCGCCAGTACATCGCCGCCAATCACGAACACCACTTTGCGCCAGGAGGAGTTGGACCGCGGCGCGCGAAGTTCTTGACACCTGAGCGGCACCTGAAGTTTCCCGACCACGTCCAAGCGAGAGCAATTGTCCCCGCCGGACCAGCCGTTCTGGTTCGAGACGTTGCTCGGAAGTCATGCGGCGCGCTCAGGAGAATGACATGTTCGAGATGAATGTAGCGGCCAAGATTGGGGTGTTAAGAAAGTTGACCCTTCGCGAAAACTAGACAGTAGCTGGGTAAACCCTGCATCCGAAACGTTAGAATTTGCATTGCATGGCATGTGCTGTTTGATATTAGTTCTTCTAAGTTTCCAGAAAGTGCCCGTTTACACTTTAAGATGCCCGCTAGTTCAGACATCTTCGGACTCTTTATATACAGATGCACGTTGTGAACGGTAGTCAACAATGGACCTACCATTTCCCCCGCTCTTGGGGTCTAAGAGGACTCGTGCCGAGCCTGTGCAACAGCAGGCGAACCATAGCACTGATGAAGATGCCGACGATGCTGACGGGGTCACCCTCCCCAACCCTCTCTCAGCCTTGGGTATAGATGGCGAGGACCCGCGGATGGCTGGAGCAAACATTGATGCAGTAATAGCCGCCCTACAGCAACAAAAACAGCTTCTCTTAACTGCAAAAAAAGGCTCCCTGAGCAACATTATTAGTCAACCTGAGGTCCCCCGAGGACAATCCTGTCCGGCGGCTGATGCACCAGTATCGCCGCAACAGTTTCAGTCTAACAACGCGCCTGAAACTGGCGACTACATGGAAATGCACGGGGGGGAGGAAGGTGAGCAACTTGGCGAGGGCGCCGAGGCTGCCCAGATGCCGACTTTGCCCAGCGCTGGCCTTCCTGCACCGTCTCTGCCAGCAGGCCAAGACCTTGCCGTGCGTGGACGGCATACCGCAGGTGAGTTTATTTATCCGTCGATTTAATCCTCGCGTATTCTCAGACTGGTTATCGTGCAGGTATGTTTGTGTCTCTCTCTGGTTGCTGATTTCGTTTGTTCTATGCTTCTCCTCCCACAATCAACCATCACGCCAACACGATTCGCCAACTGGAGGGGGAGCTCGAGGATATGAGGAAGACCGTGCACGCGTACTAGCTTCAGGTGCTCGAAAACGAGACTGCGTTGACCAGCATCGAACAAGAGCGGGAACAACTCAGGGAGCAGATTGCAGCTCTCCAGAAGTCGCTGGCAGAGCAGGCTGAAAACTTCTCGAGTGGGACTCTCGGAACCCCGAGCCTTGTGGTTGTAGCTGACGACCCTGGCGTGAACATGAGTGTCCTACCGAAGGACCAGGATGGTAAAATCTTGATACCATCATCGCTGTCTGATGACAACACCTACGGGGTGAGTGGCGCATGTAGCCTTTTTCTTTCTCCTAAACCCAGCATCATGGTTGTTGTCTTTTGCACGTGAACACAAAGTTCTCGAGTTTCTCCCTGACCCCTATCTCTTGTACCTCTGCTGATCAACCCATGGCAGAAAATGGCGCTGGAGACGTATGTGCTTCTAATCACTGAGGCGCCCGCCAAGGAGATGCTGTTCTATCCGTCGTGGGAGGAGTTTCAGCCGCACCTCGTGCGGAAGTACATGCGGAACAGCGTCGTGAAGGACCTCTACTACTACGTCAATGGCGGCAATCAGGCCCGGGCGGATATGGCGATGACAAAGGTTTCGAACAAGCGTTCCAACACCAACAAAACCTTCAAGTACTACGGGTGGGGCGCCGGGGGGTACTACGTGGATAAGGACAAGTGGCCAGCACTCACCAAGGAGGGGATATTGGTCTCAGAGGAACGGGATGTGATAGCCTGGTGGAAGCATTTCAGGCATGGTGAGTAGTTTATCTAGGTTTTCACGAAAGATTAGAAGAAAGAAGAGAGGGTTGAACTAGCAAGAATGGGGATACAAATAGCAAACCCTAGAAGGGTTGTACTCGCTATGGAGCACCCCACTACAGGCTAGAGCATAATATTCTGACACACCCTCATAGCCAAAGTGGGGTGTAATCAGCAGAGCAAGCAAAGCAGTACAAGCTCAGGGTGGATCACAATGCCACCACACATTCTGAGCACAAGTTCAAGAAGCAATAGTTTAAGGTTCACAATGATGAGCAAAGCTAGTGGTAGTCACAACGGGCAAGTGAGGAGGAGGAGAGAGAGTGAGGGGAGAGGAGATAGGAGGCGACGGCTGAAGCTGCAGACACACGGGCAACAGGAGGCACACTGGAACAGCGGCTACCGGAACAACGCTCCGGAATACTGGAGTAACTGGCCCCGCGGCTAAAGTAGCGGCAGACGAGCAACGGACCCACGGGCGGCTGGCACAGCTGGCTACGACTGGGCTACCGGACGAAGTCCCCAGAATACAGGTGCTGCTGGCGACACGACGGCAACCTCCATTCAGCTTCCCCAAACTATCCCACTCCCTCTGGTACACACCCACTGCTACACCACTAGCTCCACTCCCCCTTCACCCCCCCTTAGTACCACTCCACCGGCTCCAACACGTCCACCCCCCCTCAGCGACAGCCGCAGCACAGGGAGACGGAGGAGGAGGAGGAGCAGGGGAGACCACACACCCGCCACCCCCTACTCGCCACCCCCAAACCCTAACACAGGGCAGGGCGGGATGGCGGGTAGGGAGGATATGGGGGGGAGAGGGGGGGGGGGGGGGGGGGACCGATGCGCGGCCTCCCAGGGCGCCAAAGCAGGCGGCAGAAGGGGTGGCGCCCGCCCCCCTCCCCCAGGTCGCCCGCGGCCCCCGAGGGTCGCCTCGACGGACGACGGGAAATGGCCGGGGCGGGGCCGGGGCCGTGCAAGGGAGGCGACGGGGCCGCTGGCGGCGACGACGGGGCCGCTGGCGGCGGCGACGGGGCCGAAAGGAGCGGCGACGGGGCCGCTGGCGGCGACGACGGGGCCAAGCGGGCGGGGACGGGGTCGCTGCGGGCGGCGACGGGGCCGCTGCGCGCGGCGACGGGCCCGCTGCGGGCGGCGACGCGGCCGATGCGGGCGGAGACAAGGCCGACGCGCGGGTCCCCGTCGCTCGGCGCAGCGCCTCCCGAGGGCGACGCGCCGAGTGACGGGGCAGAAGCCCGCCGCGCGCCTCGGGGCGCACAACGGGCAGAGAACCGCCGCGCGCCTCGGGGCGCACGGCGGGCAGAAAACCGCCGCGCGCCTCGGGGCGCACGGCGGGAAGAAGAAAAAAAAAACTGCCGCACGCCACGGGGCGTGCGGCACAGAGAGTAGTAGTAGCAGTTGCAGCGGAAGCAACGAGGTGGTGAGCCCACCCACAGGATCGATCCAAGATTATCGACCTGCTATGATACCATGTGAAAGTTTAGAAGAAAGAAGAGAGGGTTGAACTAGCAAGAATGGGGATACAAATAGCAAACCCTAGAAGGGTTGTACTCGCTATGGAGCACCCCACTACAGGCTAGAGCATAATATTTTGACAGTTGTAACCCTTTCTGTTACCACGTTACTGAAGGTAAGAGAAATACTCGTTATCAACTCACTCAATATTTTTCAAAATATGAGTTTACAAACCAGGATAAACTAAATGTTACACCATTGTTACGCGGTGACGAAGTTACAGTCAGCGTTACGCCGCCAGTTACAAACACAATGTAGCCTGGTGTGTCAAAAGTTTTCGCGCTCGTAAACTGTGATCAACACTCCGCGATCGTCCATTCACCTTCGGAAACAGGGACCCTTGTAAATGGGCCACACCCCCAACTCTGTTTACTGGCCGCGTGACAAACCGAGGTTAACAGGCTGATGTGGCCATTCACTCACATTGAAGGCCAGGGCTCGAGATGAACAGTGCTAGCCCAGTTGGGTCGTTTACATAGCTTTACGAAGGGCCTGGTTTTGGGCTCACAATGGGCTGAACGCCAATCCATTTACGGGGCACATCACATACGACGATTCACAACCCTAAAAGATGCCCTCGTAACCCTAAATCGCCGAAAACGACGCTTGCTTTTTTGTGATGATACTCACGCCTAACCCGCGCATAACGAGACAAAAAATCGTCTGCTGATTTCAACGAAGAAGACTAAAGCGTAACTTTGTCTTCTCATTACTCTTTCATGCTATCGAGAATGAATAGAATATTGTACTGTACATGTTTGATAAATTTTTGTAAGATGGCACTTCTATCTGATTGGTTTATCTGATATTCAACATGATTGATGGTACATTTCTTTCATCTTGTGTGCGGTTCGTCATGTACGAGAGCATCTTACTGACTGTAAGGGAAATTCCTTTTCCTTACTTCGCGTTCCTCCTCAACGCGTACACCACTGTTCCCGCCAACAGCACCCAACAGTAAACCGTTACCACTCGCGACATTCGCCTCGACACTGTTCACGACGCGACCCAACCTCACTGTTCGGTTGGTAACCCGCGCTCCGGACCTCCGCCTCGGAATTTCCCAACCTCAGCGCCAGGCCCGTCGCGCACCCCATTTTCACGCATTACCGTTACCACTGTAGTTTCGCTATATATTCTTCGCTTATGCCTTTGCTCATTGTACTCTTGCTTCGATAGTGCAATTCTTGTTCGATCACTCAATTGCACTCGTAACACTGACTAAGGAAGGACCACCAGACTTGTTCACGTTAATCCATTGAAGTTATTCAATCGTAAGCTCCCAAAGTCTTCCGCCCAGGGGCATCACATTTCCTCCTGCCTCCCTGGGTGCTGCAGGGGATCAGCCTCGAGAGAATAAAGTGATGACATCCTCCAAAGTGAGTGAGTTGTGATCATTTGCGAATGCCTTGCTGGCGGCACGCGAGGTAGAGAGGTGGGATGCAGAAGTCTTGGAGCGGTTAAGGGCATGGATGGATTCTTCCACTGTGTCCTGCACCTGCACGCATTGAAAATTAACACATTCTGAAAATGAAAATCCAACGCCTTACAGTGGACCATATGTTGTAGACATGCTCATTGGCTGCGTACATTTCACTGGAAGGCTATCAACAAACAGGGCGGCTTACAATGAAGCGGTGCACAAAGGTCTGGCGGGTCTGGCCGATGCGGTGCACGCGGTTGGCAGCCTGCGCCTCAGCGGCCGCATTGAGCCCCGGCTCCACAAACACCACGTGCTGTGCCTCCACCACGTTCAGCCCGTTGCCCCCCACCGCCACAACCAGCAGCAGCACGCGGCACCTTGCACTCCCACCCGCTCCACTGCCACTAGCTGACTGGGCTGGCGGGCGATTAGATGATGTGAAGCGCTCCAATGCAGAAGGCACCTCCCTGGTCGGAGAGGCACGAGGAGGCACGAATGCCGGGTGGTGAATTTCATGTTTGAATCAGAAGACGAGAGAGGAAGACGAGGAGAAGTGTTGATGGGCAATAAAGAAGCGTTGAAATTCCATGGGTTGAAAGGAATGGCTCAAGGAACTGGTGGTACATGAGGAATCTTCAAGGGAGCAATCAGATGCAACTGAGTGCTATGGAAAGAATGGGACTGAGATGAAGGTAGAGGGAGCAAAGGGTGTGGTAGGAAAGGCTGAGAGTATGGGTGAGAGGTGGACAATGAAAACCTACCGCGGTTTAAAGGCGGAGGCAGTGGGGACGCCATTGGCATGCAGGCAATGGGCGATGAGGACTAGCATGTCCCTCCACGCGCTGAACACTAAGATTTTGGCCGATGGGTCCGAGCACAGGACCCACTCGGCGCGTCACTGCATCCAGCTGCAGGGATGAACGCGAGATTTTGTGGGGATAATTGGAATGGAATGAAAGATGACAGGACAGGCAAAAACAAGAGATACATTTGAGAAGCTTTTGCAGGGTTTGACATAAGGGCATACCTTTGTCCCAAAGTCCGTGCAGAGACTCATCTCCTTCTCTTGCATCTGCACCTTATCCGGCACCATCTCCTCCTCTCCCTCCCTCCCTGCAGCACCCTTATCCAGCCACGGATTCGCATCCGCACCAGCAGCAGCAGAACTAGCAGCAGCAGCAGCAGCAGCACTAGCAGCAGGGGACCTGGAAAAGGCTGTGCGATCGCTGCGAGTGGTGTTGTCCACGTCTCGTATCTCCGATGCTACTGCCTCCCTGCGGCACATGGGGCACTGGACTCGCGGCTCCTTGCTGCTGCTGCCAGCAGCACTGCCCGTGATGGTAATGGTTGCAGAAGGCACTGAAGAGGCCCTGACCACCAGAAGCTGTGTGCCTGCAGAGGTGACACAGTGGGATGGCATTGTGACAGATGATACATTGACATGGTGAGAGATGATGATGATAGATGACACGGTGGGATGACACAGTGAGATGACATGGTGGGATGATACAGCGAGATGACATGGTGGGATGATACAGCAAGATGACATGGCGAGGGATGGCACCGTGAGATGACAAGAGTTGACATGGCAACCAAGGCTCAGGCAGTAAGGGTTTCACGAATTGCTCACAAATACTTCATCGCAACGATTCCAATGCACATGCCAACTTGTAAGAAACAGACACCTGGAGAAAAACATCTATTGGAACAGAGCACAAACATACAAGGACTATTTGACCTGAACAAAATGAAAAAGCATGGCCTTACATGCTGCAGGTCACTCACAGTCACAGCACAGCACATGGAAGCATGGGAAGACTGAGAACTTGTTCGTAAACGGCTCCCTGCACACCATACAGATCTCTTTTTCTTCCCCTTCTCCCACCCCCTTCTCCCCACTCCCTCCCACTTCCTCCCCTTCCTCAACCCCATCAGCCACATGCTTCCCCTTCCCCGCCTTCCTCTCTTCCGATAGCAACCGCAGGAACCTCAGCCTTCCCTGGGCATCCTCAAGCTGAGCCTTTGCTGCCGGCCTCTCCTTAGTGAGCCGCGTACGTGCCATGTCCATTGGTGAGCTGGCAGCACGTGATTCGTCCACTTGGCGCAAGGGGCAGGTGCGCTTGGCGGCTACTTGCACTCTGTGCAATGCGTGCAGCACAGCTCGCTGGGCCTTGGCCCAAGCTCGGGCCAACCGGAACTCGTTCTGCATTGCCTGGCGGATGTGAGAGGATGGGTGATAGCAAAGGGCGGTAGAGGGAGAACAAGAGCACATATGGGCGATGAAGGCAGAAAATACTGATGATTTTGAGGGTTATAGAAATCGGATTATGATAGGTCGTGTAGAGAATGGACGATGATAAGAGGAGTGGAGATCTGGGGATGATAGGGGTTGTACATAATGGGCGATGGTAGGGGATGTAGATACGGGAGGATGTTAGTAGCTGTTGTGAATGAATAAACCAAGACATGGGGTGTAGAGATGGGAAGACGATAGAGGGTGTGGTGAAGGGAAGAGGTCAGAGAATGAATGGTAATAGAGGTCTGGAGAGTGGAATATTAGGGGTTCAGGGAATGGACGTATGTGATCTATTCTCCAAGCGCTCTGTCATCACCCGTTTGCTACATTCTACTACACCACAAAGTTTGGTGTAGACCTACAAAGCAAGCTACACCCAAAGTTGGGTGTAGCACCATCCCCTTTTATACTTAGCATGCTATACATACATTTCTAACACATTCCCTATCAACCTCTAATCTCCACACTCGACCAGGGTCGCGTTTCACCCCGTCCAAGTACACGCCCACCTTCAGTGACCAGTTCGCTCGCGACCCGGTCAACCTGGGCTTGGCGGGCAAACCCTCAGAAAAGAAGATACTGCACTAGCACAGACTGGGCCGCCTCCACATAAACGGAAGGCCATGGGCCATGGGCCATGGGCTGGACCAGCCCGGAGCTCATGCCATGCTGCCTTGGTGTCACAAACGGAACGGACAAACATCATCGGAATCTTAGAAAGGGATAACAAGGAATATTTGGGCACATTTTCGACTGACCTTCAAAGCTTCCAAAGTGCGGGATGCTGCAGCTCCCAGAACGCCCCGGTCCTCGTCTCCAATGATGCCATCAGGCAGTGATGCAAGCACCCAAGGCAGAATGGCCAAACACCTTGCAGTGTCTGCTGGTTTCCACTCCACCAAAGATCCTCCCTCTTCTTCCTCCCCTGCACCTCCCTTTCCCCCTCTCCTGCTGACCCTGGTGCCCCTCCCCTTCGCGTCCTGCCACCCTGCTGTTGTGGCTGGAACCTGTGGGGTATTGCGCACTTCCAGTGCCGATTGGGAGATGGAAATGGGGCCGCAAGATGTAGAGGGAGCAAGAGAGCTCGTGAAGGTAGGGTGGAGAGGCTGAGTGAGATGGGAGGAGGAGGCGAGGGATGGAGGGGCTGATGAGAGTTGCAGCTGGATAAGACGACTGCCGTAACGCTGGCAGGGTGGGATGGGGTGGTTTGACGGCAGGGAGAGAGTGGAGTGGAGTCGTGGTTATGCAGGGATGGTGAATCGGCATGGGAAGATGGAATGGTGGAAAATCGGAGACATATGTATGGGTTTGAAAGTGTAGTACTAGGGAGAAGCCCAGTAGGAGTTGGGGAGCAAAGGTTGCAAAAGAGTAGCAGGGAAGCAGAGCAGAACCGCATGACAAGGGTTGAATTTAAGCATGGAGGACTTCAGATCCATCAGAGGAAGCATTTTTTTGAGAATTCTCAATTAAGCATGGGGAACTTCAGATCCATAAGAGGAAGCAGCGAAATGGGCTTGAGAGAGGCTGTCGTGAAAGAAAGAAACGCCTACAAGGATGAGGCGAGCTCCGACCTCCCTCCTCCCTGCGCCCCCACCTGTATCCTGGTGCCCGTCTGATTGCACACCCATCTCACCTCAAACACGTCCTGCGCTTGGCAAAGCATGCAGAGCTCACTGCCTTCCCCCCCATCTGCTCCCCTCGCACCAACCACTCCACTCGCCAAAACACCCTCAGCCCCTCCATCCTCATCCCCGCCCTCCTCACTCGCGCCCTCCTCAGCCTCATAATCCTCAGCCCCGCCCTTCTCCTCCTGCCCCGCACTGCAGCGACCACACGAGCCTGCCTGCGCCACCAGACTGCCCCCCACGCCCTCAACGTCCACCCTACCGCCCGCGTCCACCACTCGCTGCAGCACTTCCTGCCTGCTTCCCATCAGCCTGGCCACTTCCTCTCCCAGCGCAACCAGCAGGCCGTGCAGCGTGGGGAAGCTGACAGGGGGATGGGAGGAGAGGGCGGATCATGGGGTGCAATGAGGACTATTAAAGGAGGTGCAGGAAAGAGTAGTGTGCAAGGCAAGCACGCTTCCAGCACCACCGTCGAGCCGTTCCCTGACAAACAATCTTACGGCGCACGTGAGAGCACGGCGCACCTGAGAGCAAGGCTGGCCATGTTCATTGTCTCTAGCCTGCTGCAGCTATCATCATCCAGTAGCGTGCGCTGCAAGTGAGTGATGATGCTACCTGTGCGAACTGGGGGCACAGAAGACCGCAGTGCTGCAAGGAGAGCGAGCCATGACCGCGAGGTGGGGAGCGAGCCATGACCGCGAGGTGGAAAGCGAGCCATGACCGCGAGGTGGAGAGCGAGCCATGACCGCGAGGTGGAGGTGGAGAGGAGAGCTGATGCCCCATGGGCTTCCACCTGCACGTGCGGGATGTAGACATGTGTGTGTGACATGCACATGCAGAGAGATGCGAGTGGCATGAGGGTTGAGGGTTTGAAATACAGACATCCATGCGAGTGACATCATGAGTTGCAATGATAGAGATGAGAGCAACGACCCAATTGGCATGGGCGTAATGACACCCTAAATGACCAACACAAACCCACATACTCTCTCACATGTGCCCACAGTCTCTCACAAGTACCCACGTACTCTAACGGTCGCACCACCACACACATTCCCCCACATGACTCGCCTGTGAGTGCACATCCTCGAAGACCTTCTTGGCAACAGCAGCGCGCGCCCTGTAAGGAGCCACATACTTCCCCATCGCCTCCTCCATCTCCCCTTCCAGCCTCTCCTCCCTCGCTGTCCGTGCAACCACCACACCTGCTCCAATGCCATCTGACTCCACCGAACTGCACCCCTTATCACTCTGCGCTACGCCACAGTGCCCCTGGCTTCCTTCCGTTGCAGAGTGCAGCAAGGCGAGCAGCTCGTGCAGGTTGTGCAGCACGTGCAGACGCTGCAGGAGGGTGTTGCGCTGGCGAGCGCGGTGAGGGGCGGAGAGAGACACACTCGCTCCCCCTGCGTCGCCATCATGCACGTCTTCATTCCGATCCCCATCGCCATTCACTTGCTGTGCCCCATCCTCATTTTCATCCAAGACTCGCACAGCATCGCGGTAAAGCCCCACGGCCTGCTCTGCCCCGGCTCCCCACTGGTCGATGTTCTCAATAGAGTGGTGGGGAGAAGCAGCAGAGGGGGGCGAGGAGGAGGAGAGGAGGGGGAGGGTGGGAGCGTGGATGGCGGCGAGAGCAGCGAGGCCATTGAGGGCGGAGATGAGGAGACGCTGGGCTTCCTCCGCCTCCACACGTGCCTTCTCCAACAGCACCTGAGGGCATGCCAGTGATGTGTCACACCATGCATTTGGAAGGGAAGCCAAGGAACAAGATTTGGTGCAAATCAGAAAGAACATTGTCGCCATATTAAGGAGCAGTCCTCAAATAAGGATGAGAACTGGTCAAGTTGGTGTGAGGAGGTTCATGGATAATGGGTGGGACACCAAAGGAAGCACAAGGGACTGGACCGGATCAGCCAGCGATCCATTTCTCCGATTCGCATCACATGCCTCAAACTCCCTCACCATTCTAAAAGGCTCACAAACCTCACAGCCTCACCCAACTTGCTTGACAATCCCCATGCCTGCTTCTCACTTCTTCTCTCTCCGTCCCTTGCAGCACTTCACCCATATCCATTCCAACAGCAGCCCGCTCACATGCCCTCCTCCCACACACACACCTGCCGAACCTCATCCATGTGCATAGAACACACATGCCGAACCTCATCCATGTGCATGGGACACACCTGCCGAACCTCATCCATGTGCATGGGACACACCTGCCGCACTTCATCCATGTGCATGGGTCGCTCCGAGTTCAAACGCCGTAGCCCGCCCGAGACAACCTGGGGGTGGCAGCAGGCCTGGCGTAGCAGCAGCAGTGACGCCAGGAAACTGTTGAGGTCGGCACGGCACGCACTCGACGGCAGCAGCGACCGCAGCGACTGCTGCTGCTGCTGCGTCTGCCGCTCCCCTCCCTGATCCTCCTCCTCTCCATCCCCATCCCCAGCTCTGCCGTTGACCGGTCCTGCCCTCCCTCCCCCTCGCTCCCCTAATCTGAGGATGTGTTTCGCGCGCTGGGCGCACTTGGCGTGCTGCTGGCGGTAGAAGTGCGCCTCGATGGCGCTGAACCGCAGCACCGTCAGCAGCTGCCGCTGAGGTGGCAGCGCCAACTCGTCCGCCACGTCAGCCTTGTTATGGCGCCACATCAGCTGCGACATGAGGGCCAGGAGGGAGTGCCACGCTGGCACGCATCCATGCTGCCATGGCGTTAGGCGAGGGCAGTTGCGGGGTGGGGAAAGGAAGGAGAGAGATTCGATGCATACAAGAGTTTGAGTGGGCATCAGGCAGGGAGGAGGAAACAGAGGCAGCACATCAAACAGATGAGATGGATACCTTGGGCCAACTGTAATAGATCAGAGCAAAGTCAAAGCGAAAAGTCCAGAACATCACAAGCACAGCAGTGAGCGAGCCAGTAGCTGTGCAGATGACACAGTGAGAGTGGTCCAGGACTGAAGCCACATTGACCAAATGCCAAAACGAGAATGATAAAGGACTGATGCCATATCGATCAAGTGCCAGTTGCATTGCATCATGATGACCATTGACTAGTGTCACCACACTCACAGTACCCATGAGACCCACACCAATTTCTCAGCCCAAGTCCACACCCCAGCAGGCTCACCTCAATAGGTTTCTCAAAAAAATCGCATCACCATTACGGCAGGTCAAACGGCGAGGCTCGGAAGAACCGAAGCAAGCTCTGCAGGTCTAGCGGGCCCTTCTGAATGGGAGTGCCCGACAAGCACCACCAGTGCTGCGCGCACAGGCGGGCCGCCATGATTGCTGCTCTGGAGGTTCCGCCCTCCACCAGTTGCGCCTCGTCCAGACACACCCGCCACCAGTGCAGACGTGTGAGGGGCGTGGGGCGGGCCTCGTACCTGGGACAGAGTAGTAGCAAGGTGCGACAATGAAATGTGCATTTTGGTACCAGAGCAGCGAGTCAGGTGCATAGGGCGCTTCTGGTAGGTGGGAACAAAAAAAAAACTTGCCAACACACAAAGCAGGTATGGAAAGGGCAGTAGGTTGGCATGCCAGTAGCGCCAACATCTTCCTCTCTTGGTTTTGCTGTTGGCCTTGCCTGTCACCTACAAGCTTAGAATCAAGGCACCCTTACACACACCCAGCATCCAGAGCTCTCTGTGCTACTACCTTGTTCCGTCTTCTCATGCATTTCCTCTCACCTCTTCTTATGTCGCAACACTCTTGTGGGCCCATCGTGCCAGATGTCGCCACTAAGCATTTCGTACGACACCAGCACGATGTCAGCAGCTGCGAGATCATGAGGCGTGACTTCATCCACCTCCTCCCACACCTCGCTGCACTCCACATCTAGCCTCTCCCTTCGCCCCCAATCCACCTGCCTCTTCCCCTTTCCACCCCCTCCTCGCCCTCCCTCACGCCCGTCTCCCACCTTACCACCCCCCCTTCCACGAAAGGCCCTGTCTGTCCCCTCATCACCCGAGGAGGCAGGCGAGGAAATGCTGAGAGGTGAGTCAGGCGGGAAGGTGAGAGGCGAGGCTGGGGAGGGGCGGAAGGCGAGGCGCAGTGCAGGGCTGTTGACGCCCTGATACACCAGTGCACTCACTGTGCCTGCACGGGTGTGGCTGGCGGAAGGGGAGAAGAGCAAGGGGATGGGGTGCAGGGGGAAGGGAGGAGCGAGTGGAGAGGCAGACGATGCACGGCATTGTGATATGGCGGTGCAAGAGACAAGGAACTGAACGCGTGCAAAGCTTAGTCCCCCAAGTAGCCTGGCCTGACCTGTCCCTCACCATCCTCACACAGCCAACTGTGCTTGCTGTACCTACCATTCATACTGAATGATACGGAATGTTTGAAAAAAAATATTAGGAAAGACACTAAGAGGGGTTGGCCGATGCGATATTAAGGTAGCAAAGGCAGCAGCATAACAAAGAAAGTGCTCAATGCCCAGGGCTTGCCCTTCACATACCGCAAGACCTCGTCTCGCCACTGAGGAAGAATGGCCGCTGGACACACAATGAGCGTGCTCCCACATGGCGTCCGCACTCGCCCCTCCCCCCCCTCCTCCCCGCCATTCATGGCCTCTCCTTGCTCGCCCTTCACCACCTCAACAACACCGCCGCGCCCCTTGCTTTTTCGTGCTGCCACCCTCATCGTCCCTTTCCTCTTCTTCCTGCCCCCCTTCTCGCCATCCTCTCCCTTCTCGCCTTTCTTCCCCCTCTCACTGCACTGTTCAGACTGTCCTTTTTCCGCGCCTTTAGTCCTCTTCCCAATGACCCCTGCCTCCGTCTCTCCCTTCCCACTGCCTTCCTAGTGGTGGGCGAGGATGCCGGCAAGCACCTCCACGATCTTACCCAGCCCCATCTCCTATGCCAGAATGCCACCCCTCACTGCCCCTGCCACCGCACCCACCCACCCGCACACTCCACTCACTGACCCTGCACCGACCAAGCTTGAGCTCGCCGAACCTGTATGCGCCGAACCTGCGTGTGTTAGAATTGAACCATATGCTTCATTAGGAATGATACGGGCTTACATAGTTGAAGCTAGGGGAGGGGGGTTGGTTGGGTACCTAGTCAACATTATTGGCCCCCCACCAATAAGTTAGGTTGGAGAATTATTGGGGGGTCCCAATAATGTTGGCCAAAAGTGGGCCAACATTATTGGGGGGGCCAATAATATCTCAACTCAACCTTGGGGGCCAATAATTGGACCAGGGTTGGGTTCCAACCCCCAACTAGGGTTAACCCTAGTTGTGCACCCAAACATAGTTTGGGTGCCTATCTCTGTCTTAGGGTTTAAAGGATCAATGCATGATACAGAAGAGTAGTATAATCTAACACAACCCCTTAGCCTGCATAGATCGATAAACCTGGATGAGATAAGACAGCAACCCCTGAATCAGTCACCATGGGGAGCAAGGCCCAGGAGTGGCAAAATTGCCGAGTGAGTAGAGCGGTCGAGGGCCTTAGTGAATATGTCGGCGGGGTTGGAGGAAGAGTCGATCTTGCGCACGGTAATGTGGCCATCCTGGACAAGATTACGGACGAAGTAGTGTCGGAGCTCGATATGCTTGGAGCGACCATGGAACACAACTTCTTTGGTGAGGTGGATGGTGCTGGCGTTGTCACACCAGAGAAAGGGACAAGGCTGTGGTGAGCCAAGGTCTGTGAGGAGATAGCTGAGCCAGCGTGCTTCCTGTGCTGCCATTGTGACCGCGTACAGTTCAGCCTCGCAGGAGGAGAGGGCGATGGAGGAGGAGAGGGTGGAGCGCCAGCTGATGAGGCCGCTCCCAAGGGTGAAGCCATATCCTTGTGAGCTGCGACGGTCAGGCTGCGAGTCCGCCCAGAAGGAGTCGCTGAAGCCAGTGAGAACCGGCGGGTCTGCTCCACCAAGGGTGAGGGTGTAATCCTTCGTGTGCTGAAGGTAGCGTAGGACACGCCGGGCTGCCGTCATGTGTTCCTCCGTGTGCCTGCCGACACCAACGAATCGCGCCAGAACACTGACTGGGTAGGCAAGGTCGGGGCGGGTGCAGACCATGGCGTACATTAGGGCCCCGACAAGTTCTGCATAGGGGTTAGAGGAGTCGGTGGGGGTGGCAGGGGGCGAGAGCTGGTGTCCAACTGCAAGCGGGGTGGCGATGGGCTTGGCTTTTGACATTCCAAACCTCTCAAGGACCTTCTCAATGTAGAAGGAATGAGAGAGGGAGATAGTCTTAGCCTTGAGGTCGTGGGTGATCTCCATGCCAAGGTAGTTGCGGACCTCCCCCAGGTCTTTGCAGGTGAGGCGACGCTGTAGTTCGTCCTTGACCTCCTGCATCTCAGCATCGGTGTCAGCGGCTAGTAGCATGTCGTCGACGTAGACGAGAATGTAGAAAGGTGACGAAGTCGTCCGAAGGAAGAGGCTGGAGGCAGCTCGGGAGGGGCGAAAACCAAGCTTGCGAAGGGTGGAAGAGAGCTTGGCATGCCACTCTCGGGGTGTCTGCTTGAGGCCGTAGACGGGTCGCAGCAGCTTCCAAACGGTGGACGGGTCATGTGGAGCGTGAAAGCCTTTGGGACGTTCCATGAAGATGATTTCGTGTAGGTCGCCTTGGAGGAAGGCGGTAGTGACATCCATGGAGTGTAGCAGCATGCCGCGTCTGCCGACGAAGTCGAGGAACACCTGAACGACCGGTGGGGTAGTAGTGGGTGAGTATGTTTCGAAGAAGTCAAAGTCGTGCTTCTGCGTGAAGCCCTTCGCCACATAGCGAGCTTTGTAAACACGGTCTTCGCCAGGGAGAAGCTCGACATGGAAGAGCCATTTGCCCTTGATGACATTGGTCTTGGCAAGGCGAGGGACGTCGATGAAGGAGCGGTTGTGGATGAAGGCGTTGCTCTCCTTGACCATGGCTTCAATCCAGAGTGGTGCGTCGAGGCACGCAATAGCCTCCTCGTACGTGGTGGGTTTGAAGATGGTGGGGGTGCCCGAGAAAAGAAGAACTGGAGTGTCTGCCATGGTGCGGACGATGGGGGCAATGGAGGGCGCGAGGAGGTGGAGGAAGAGGAGTTCGTCGTGGGTGTCTTCATAGAGGAGAGGAGAGAGAGGAGGAGGTAGAGGGGGTGGTGAAGATGCAAGACAGCTGCGCTGGAGGTCGAGTTTGGGACATGGAAGTGCTGCTGCTCGGCTGCGCGGTGGTGCAGTCAAGAACGCGGGGTGGTTGCGCAGTGGATCTAGAGTGAGGGGGCTGAAGCGGGGGGGGAGGGGAGTACCGGTGAGGGTGAGGAGGGAGGGGGGGGAAGTCTGTGGGGAACCAAGGATGGGGTCCAGGGAGCGGGTGTGGGGATAGCGGGGAAGGACAAGGGTAGGGGAGGGGCGCCGGGGAAGAGGGGGGGGAGGTGGAGGGGGGGCCGGATTAGAGGAGGGGAGGGGGGATGGAGGGGAAGGGGGCGGGGGAGGTGGACGAGGGGGAGGAGGAGGAGGGAGGTGGGTTGCAGCGGAAGGTGAGGTAGTGGAGTGGGAGGGGGAGGGGGGGGAGTGGGTTAAGGATGTCACCGGATGAGCTGGAGGAGAGGGGAGCAGGGGGGAGGGGTGGGGGAGGGGGGGCAGGGGTCATGGCAGGGGACGAGAGGAGGGGCAGGGTGTCAGTCCAGAGAAGGGGCCGGGGAAATGGGGAAGGGGGTTAGGGGCGGAGGGGGAGGTGTAGTACAGGGTGGCCTCGTCAAAGACCACGTCCCGACTACGGATGAGGCGGCCTGAGGGGGGGTGGAGGAAAAGGTATTCAGGTGAGTTGGTGTTGTGTCCAAGGTAGACACAGGGGAGTGTGTGGGACACAAGCTTTCCGCGTGCGCGTGGCATGTCGGCACGGTGTATGAGGACATACGCCTTGCAACCCCAGACGCGCAGAGGAGATATGTCAGGCTTGCTGGAGGTCCATAGTTTGGTTGGGGTGGAGGTGGGACGAGAAGGGTGGGGGTAGAGGTTAGTGAGGATGGCAGCATGAAGGATGGCATAGCCCCAAAGAGAAGGTGGGCAGGAGGCGTGCCGAGCCGTTTTGGTGATCTCCCGCACGCGGCTCTCTGCCACACCATTCTGCTGAGGGGAGTGAGGGAGAGTGTAGGTGTGGAGGATGCCGTGAGTGGTGCAGTAGGAGGACAGGGTGCGGTTGAGGAGCTCACCGCCTCCATCGGAATGGAAGCGGCAAACAGGGCGACCGAAGTGGTTGCGTGCTTGTTCAGCCCAGGCAGTGATGGCAGCCGGGGCCTCCGCCTTCGTACGAAGGAGGGTGATGGAGGAGTATCGAGTGTAATCATCCACCAGGATGAGGAGATAGCGATGTCCTTGCCTGGTGGGGGAAGGGTTAGGGCCCCACAGATCCATGTGGACGAGGTCAAGGGGTTGGAGGGAAAAGGAGGGGTTACTCGTGTGTGGTTGTTGCTTCAGCTTGCTTTCAACACAAACTGAGCAAGGAGGGGAGGGGGGCGGAGGGAGGGGGGGAAGGGTAAAGGGGAGACCATCAAGGAGTTTAGTGAGGATGGATCGGCGAAGGGTGGCAAAGTTGGAATGGCCTAGGTGATGGTGGAGGAGAATGGTGGGGTGTGTGAGATCACGACAGTGACAGGGGGAGGGTGGGTTAGATGGGGGGGCGGGGGGGGGGAAGGGGCTGGGGGAGGGGGAGGGGGAGGGGTTGGGGGAGGGGGAGTGGGAGTTGGAGGGGGAGGGAGAGGTTCGAGAGGAGGGGAGGGGGCGGGGGGATGGGGTGTGGAGAGTTGGTGAAGGGTGGGACGGGGGATGCGAAAGGTGTACATGTGGGTGGAGGGGCACCGATGGACACGGCGGAGGAAGCGACCGGAGGAGGTGTGAAATAAGTCACAATATGCTGCGTGACCAGGAAATAAGGCGGTGACACCTGCCGTTGAGAGGGCACCAAGGGAAACCCGGTTGTTACGAAGGGAGGGGATACAGAGACCTATGACAGTCACTGAGGGAAAGAGGGGACAGGGGAGTGTGGAGGTGTAACGTCTTTGTAAGGCAAAGCTTGAGTCAGCCCCATAGATTGTGGAGGGGGTGGAGAGGGGGAGGAGCGTGCCTGCATCACGAAGGACCGTGTGTGTGGCACCGCTGTCAAGGATGAACTCAAGGGGCTGGGAGGAGGAGGAGGACACGGAGTACTGGAATGAGGACTCATTAATAGCATTGGCATACATAGGATCATTGCAAGAGCTAGCAGTGGTGACATGACCTATGAAGCCTGTGGAAGGAAATGGTGTGAAGCTGGGGGGGTGAGAGGAGGAGGTGGGTTGTTCAATAGTTGCAGCAGTTGCGGCAGTTCCATGGCCATACATAGATGGGGGGTAGGGAGGGTAGGGCCAGCCGGCATAAGGAGGAGGATAGAGAGGAGGATAGGGGGAGGGAGGGGTTTGAGGTGGGGGCGTGGGTGGAGGCGGAGTGGTGAAGGTGGAGGGCGTAGGGGTGGTGGTGGGTGTGGGAAAAAGGTGTTGGACTTGCTAGAGGACGTGAGGGGAGAGGTGCTGAGCGAGGATATTATGGAGGTTAGGTGGAGAGGGTGCATAGGAGGAGAGAGTGCGAATATCATGAGGGGTGGGGCGAGGGGTGATAGTGTTCCAACGTGGAGGGGGACCTGTATTGCCGCGTTCAAGCCATTCATCAGTGAGGGCTTTGAAGCACGTTTCAGTTGGATGAGTGGTCTGGTTGCAAGTCTGACCTTTGTTAGGGCCTTGACGAATGACGTACTGACACGGGGGAAATCCACCCGTGGATGGAGTAGTTGCTCCACGTCCGCCGCGTTCCCCAGTGCGCCCTCCTCGTCCGCCTCCGCGACCGCCTCCTCGACCTCCTCCACTTGAACCACGTCCTGGTCCGCTGCTGCTGCTTCCGCCAGTATTATTGGTTCCTTTGCGAGCGTGAACAGCATTGACCGTTGCAGAGTCACGCAGGAGGTCAGCCTCACTGTCAAGGAGCCAGTCGATTGTAACAGCTACAGGAGGAGGACGAATGTGCTAGGAAGTGAAGTTGATGCGGTAGGTGTCATAGGTGGGTGGGAGGCAGTCAAGGATGCGTGCTGTAAAAAGGGTGTCTGAGATCAAGATGCCTCGATCATTGAGGCGTTGCGCAGTGTCCGTAAGGCGCCAAGCGAAGGAGGCGGCATTGAGGGAGGAGTCAAGGGTGATGTCTTGGAAGGTGCGAAAGAGGGAGAGGAGGGAGCGTAAGTCCTAACGGTCATATTGGGAGGAGAGAGACTTCCAGAGAGCGGGGGAGGATGGAGGTCGAAGGTCACGTTTAAGGGAGGAGGGAACGCACGAGAAGATGACAGTGAGTGCACGGCGGTCAGCAATGCGCCATGCAGCAATATCGGAGTGATGCTTACAAAGGTTAGTAGAGTACGCTTCGGAGATGGCTTTGAACCCTGCAAGCTTTGCAGTAGCAGCTTCGTGAGCGGCGACGGCAGCCGCGTGTGCTCTGCCCTTGATGCCGTAGTCGTCTCGCTCCTTGTTGTACTTGTTGAGGGTGCGAGCCCACCTGTCTGGGTCATCCTCCCAAGCCCCTAGGATGGGGGCTTGAGGGGCGGGTTCGGTCGGGAGTGGTGGGGCGTTAGGAGGGGAGGAGCCTGGGATCGGGGGCGGGGTGGGAGGGAGGCCGTGAGGCGTTTCGAGGACGACATCAAGAAGGCAATAATCTCCCACTCGGACGGAGCCAAGGTACGTGAAGAGACTCTCCTCAAACGACACCCAATTGACTGCGGTGGTGCCGTTGAGGAGCTCGAGTTTGTCGATCGAGGCAAGCTCAAGCGACGAAGGTTCGTCCGCCATGACGAGTGAGGGAGGGGGGGGGGGGAGGGGAGGAGGGGAGGGTGGAGGTCCTAGAGCTGACGACGCTGTCCGGAGGGACGGCGCGGTCAGTGGTGGGGATGAGTTGCGTGCTGTCCGCAGCTGGTTACTCCCCCGTCTGGTCGCGTTCGCGGCTGCCCGCGTTCGTCCCGTCCGCGGCTGCTGCCCGCGTTCGTCCCGTCCGCGGCGGCTGCCCGCGTTCGTCACGTCCGGGGCGGCTGTCCGCGGATGTCGCGTCCGCGGCGGCTGTCCGCGGATGTCGCGTCCACGCTGCCCGTCGGCGCGGACGTCGCGTCCGTCCTCGTCGTCGGCGCGGACGTCGCGTCCGTCCTCGTCGTTGGCGCGGATGCCGCGTCCGTCCCGTCCGCGGCTGCTGCCCTATAATCCAACAGCGTGCGCTGAACCAATATGCTTTGAACCTGTGCATGCCGAAGCTGCGCGCATTTCCCTGTGATTGCTGACCGGTTGAAAACAGCAGCTGGAGCGAGGGAGGCGCACAAAGGTACCTCTGGATGACACATGGCAAAGAGGTGGGAGGGAGGGAGTGAGGAAGAGGATGGGCAGAGATAGAGCATAATGCGGGGAAGGGGTTGGGCATGAGAACAAGAAAGGGGATGAAGGTGAGGAGGCAGATGAGAAGTCAGCAGAGCCATGAAAGGGCCGCCAAAAGAAAAACGCAGGTCCCTCTTGAGTGGCAATGGCGTGGAAAGGGGGAATAGCAACAGGTGCGCGGAAAGAGGGGTAATCGCAACAGGTGCGCGGAAAGAGGGGGAATAGCAACAGGTGCGCGGAAAGAGGTTGAATAGCAATAGGTGTGCGGAAAGAGGGGGAATAGCAACAGGTGTGTGGAAAGAGGGGGAATAGCAACAGGTATGCTGCGGAAAGAGGGGGAATAGCAACAGGTGTGCGGAAAGAGGGGGAATAGCAACAGGTGTGTGGAAAGAGGGGGAATAGCAACAGGTGTGCGGAAAGAGGGGGAATAGCAACAGGTGTGCGGAAAGAGGGGGAATAGCAGCAGATGCGTGGAACGAGGGGGGCTAGCAACAGGTGTGGGGGAAGAGGGGGAATAGCAACAGGTGCGGGGGTAGAGGGGGAATAGCAACAGGTGCGGGGGTAGCGGGGGAATAGCAATAGGGCCGGGGAGGGAAGAGGGGGAATAGCAACAAGTGCATGGAAAAGGGGGAATAGCAACAATTGTGGTGTGAAAAGAGGGGGGAAAGCAACAGTTGATGTGCGGGGCTGTGCAGGGGGAGTATGAATACACTTGATGGACAGATACCTACTGGATAGGATTGTAGTGCAGAGTGACGTCAGGATGGCTTTTCTCTGCTGCCACTTGCCGCCACAAGGGATGCTGCACTTCCGTCCACCATTCGCCATACCTTCCATCCCCGCATCTCCCCTGCTCGCCCCGCTCTCGCTGCACCATCCACGCCACAGCTCTGCACTGGTACGGCCTCAGAGGAGGTAGCAGGTTGGGTGGGCTCGAGTCAAGGGACGGAAGGTGCATGCAAGCAGCACGAGGGGCGTGCACCGCAGCACAGGGATGGATGGATGCAATAGCTGTTGAGAGCACAATGCCACGAACATGCATGTGACAAGAAACCAGCGGCATTGGGGTTGCACTTGGCGAATGGTTGAACGAATGGTGCAGTGCAGAGCAGTGGAAGTGAGAGGCGTGGAGGCCACGTGACTGGTCGCAAAATACTAATTACTATCGTGAATGGATTACTGCATATACGTCGGTTGCGTATCAGTATTTGAGACACGAGAAAGTAACGGAAGGCAAGGACGAGAAGAGCATAAGTCAACGAGGTCACCCTGCAAAGTATGGAACCATGTTAGATGCATCCGCAACCAAGCCACCTTACCACTCACCTGCAATGGCATCACCCACCTGCTGGGCCGCACAGCTCGGTACAGTTGGTCGAAATCGAAGCCACTGCCACGTGGCAATCCGTCATCCATGCTGCCATCCAGGTTACCGTACAATGCTCCATCAGCATGGCAGGAGCACGGCAAAGTAGTTGCACATCCTTAGGCCCGGGGTGCAACACGGCATCTGGCGCAAGGCTGCTCATGAGTGTGTGTATGTGATGCGTGTGGCTGAATTTCCGCCACTCAGTTAGCAGAGGGGCGAGCAGAGGCAAGCACATCTGCTCCACCGGCACCTCCGGGACGAGCCTGCTGGGGATGCCCAGCAGAATGCGCACAGAGCCAGCGGCGCGCTCCTCAAGTGGCCGGGTGATGCGTTGCGCGTGGGCAACTCCACCGGGTGCATCAATGCCGAGGGGGGTGACAGTAACGAGGCCCCTCTGCGTGAGGTGCAGGAGGGCCTGCACAGCAGACGGATGGTGCAGCTCCCTTATGTCTGACGCCCTAGCCGACACAACTATCTCTGCCTTCCCGTCTCCCTCACCCTCGCCTCCCATCCATTCATCAGCCTTCCCGTTCCGCGCTCCCCGTCCCCGCAGCCGCACTATGTGCAGCATGACGTCCTCCGCGGCCACTGATGCCAGCTGCAGTCGTCCCAACGACCACGACGGGCCCTGCCCGTCACGTGCTGCCTCACGCACACACACGCATAGCTCCATCGCGCTGTCCTCACACGGCTGTCCTTCCTCCACTGCTTGCGTGGTTGTCCTTCCGTTGCGCTCGATAAAAGCTCGCAACACAGCGGCATGTCCCCAAGGATCGTCGGCGCTGGGACTATCGCGTAAGGCGCCATTAGCAGCAGGAACGGAACCGTCGGCAATGGCGGAACGACAGCCGGCGCAGCGGTGCTGGATGAGAGTGTAACGCATTGACCTACTTCTTGCCTAACTCCCTAGCTAACAACCTAACACTCAAAGACATTCGTCGAGATTGCTCTCGATAGTTATTGGGCTACGAGTGAGTGAAGGTTGAGTTGGGAGAGAAAGGGTTGGGTTGGGAATTCCAAACCTCAACCAATAGGTTTGGGAAATTCCAACCCATCAGAGTGGAATGTTGAAGGTTGGATTTCCAACCAATCAGAAACTGCCAATTCAGTATAACAATCTACTCTATCTTAAAAACAACCATTCAATGGTTCTAGGTTGGGTTTTCCCAACCCAACTAATTGCCACATAGGCTCCAAGCCTAGGAACCATCCCACCATGGAAACCATGGTTGGGATAGTTCCCCAAGGGGTGTATTGAGGGGGTCTGAGCTAAGCAAGCTCATTCTCAACCTCCCACTCCAACCAATCAATTGGAAATGGGATTGTTTCTCTAAGTCATTTTTTGCTCTCTCACAAGCCTTCCTACACAACTCTTTCAAGCAATTCTATCAACTACTTCAAGAAGATTAACACTTCAAGGCTATTGGGAGCTAGTTAAGGCTTCAACTCGTATTGGAATTTTATTATAAAGCCTTGTAATCACTACTATAATAGCCTTGGGTGTTACATTGGTATCTAGAGCAAGGTTCTTCCTTGGCCTTGTGTGGCCATTTGCTTCTTGGATTATTATTTGCTTTTTAGAGGATCCTAGCTTGTGGATCTAGGATTATATCCAAGGAGTTGTGAAGATTTTGAAGACATTTCAATATCTACAACTGTTTCTTCAAGATTTACAAAAGCTTCTCCAAAGATCTACAAACTCCAAGTTACAACTACTTCATCTCTTCATTAGAGTGCAAGATCTGCAAGAAGCTTCTTCTTCATCATCACCATAGAGAAGAAATTTGAAGAGATTAATTTCTCTTACCCACCTTAGGTGGAAGACACTTGATCTACCTTGGATGGAAGAGTGTACCTTTCGATCTATAAGGACTTGTTGAGGATTACTCTCTTGAGTATATCCTGCTCTATCATTGAGGTGATAGAGAGATTTGGCAAACAAGTCAATCTTAAGAGATTCTGTATTGGATTATTCTATAAGAGTAATCAGATTTCTTAAAGATTATTATAAGATCTGTTGAGACCTCCTCTCCTTAACCTGTTTCATGGTTTCTAGTCAAGAGATGGATGCTACTAAGGAGGTGCCCGTTGCTGGCAATGAGGGAGATAATGCTACTGCTACTGACATTGATCTCAACCTTGAGGACTTCGTGGTTGACATGGAGATCAATGGAAGTGAAGCTGACCTTGAGGCTGATGCTGAAAATGAGGATGAGGCTGGCTCTGATGGGGGTGTTTCCAATGAGACTGAGAACATTGCTGTCAAGCTCCAGACTCAACTGACAGAGCAGAACATTATCATTGGAGAGCAGCACTGCCGCATCCAGAACTTGGAGGCTGATTCTATTAAGCTTCAGGCCTTGATTGAGAAGCTGACCAGGGAGGTGCAATCGATCCCTTAGGAGAACGACAACTCCAGCTTCATTCAGGACCTGCAGACCACTCTCCAGTTCGTGCAGGATCAGCTCAAGAAGCAAGAGAAAAACATCTCTGTGCTTCAGGCTCAGTACAGGGAGATTCGGCGTGGAAACCTCTATCAGCCTGCTCCTACAGCAGAGCGAGTCGCCAACGCCGCTAATAGCCAGGCTGCACCTGCTACTGCATCTCCTGCTGTTCCTCCTCCTACTGGAGCACGTGCTGATCCTCCTACTGCAGCAGCAACTGCCTTTGGCTCCTGCCCTTCGGCCTTGCCTCGTTTTGTCCATGGCAAGACCGACGTCGAGACTTGGCTCTCTATTGCGGAGGACTTTATGTCCATCCACAATATGCGTAGCGAGGCTCGCGTGGTCGCTGCGACCCTTGCCCTGGACGACACTACGAGCAAGCTGGTGCACGCCAACAAGCGAGGCTCGCGTGGTCGCTAATGGCCATCCTTTTGGCTGGGAGGATTTCAAAGCTGCCATGCTGGCGGCATTCCTGAGTCAGCCCCCGGCGCTTGAGGTGCGTAGCCACCTGGAGAACATCCAGTGCGGTGACCAGCCTGTACGCGAGTACACCAAGGAGTTTGAGAAAACTCTGTCGCTGTTGAAGACTGATCTTCCTAAGAGCAAGGTCATCCACCAGTTCTTCAAGGGACTCCCTGAGCACATCAAGCGTGTGCATGTTGTGCGCGGAGAGCACCAGTGGAGGACCTACAAGGAGTGCAAGGAGCAGGTCATTGACACGGATGTGAATTTCCGTGCGTACATGACTCACGCTCGTGCTCAGCAGCAGCCTAGTGCTGAAGGCCCAAGGGGGGGTGGTAGCAGGACTCAGGCACACAGGGGCGATGGCTCTTGGAAGAGGCCCTATCAGCAGAAGGGGGAATCCTCTGGGACTCAGTCTAAGAGGGCCCATGCTGGGCCTGCCAAGGATCCTCAGGATGAGGATAATTGCCCGGCGGGCTGCCGCATCTGTGGCAAGCTCGGCCACAATCACTGCCGTTGGAGGAAGTCCGTCAAGAACTCCGGCAAGCCCAACCAGGGCAAGAAGCCGGATGGTTCTGACCCTTCGGGCCCGAAGGATTTTCCGAAGTCCAACTAGGGGGTGGGTACCTAGTTGGTGGGCGAGATCGAGTCGATGAGGCTTATGTCCTTCGTGATGAGGATTTGCTAAAGCTAGATAAGCTTGCATTATGCAAAATCGCTTGTTTGTATGCCTCTTCTATTAATGAAAAATCTGTTTTTAAAACTCGATCATACCCACTTGAAAACATTTCAATTGAATCTTTGAGAGATAAATTTTCAATCATCTCTTGCTCGTTCAACGAGTTGCCATCAATCATGGATATTGTGGACCGTTGTGTCCAAGAGCACCCGCTCACATCAGTGGGATTGGTGACTCGTGTCAGAGGTCCACTGGAGATCCCCCATTGATCCTAGGGAAGGGTTACAGGCTCGTTGTCCTGGGGGGTTATGGGCGCACTGACCCGCTACTTAACAAGCCCTTTTATCCCAGTGGTCTAGTGGTTGGGATTCTGACATGGTATCAGAGCGGTCTTGGGTTCGAATCCCAGTGTGTGCACTTCGGGCATCTCAGTGCGAGGGGGTGTTAGAGGTCCACTGGAGATCCCCGATTGATCCTAGGGAAGGGTTACAGGCTCGTTGTCCTGGGGGGTTATGGGCGCACTGACCCGCTACTTAACAAGCCCTTTTATCCCAGTGGTCTAGTGGCTGGGATTCTGACAACTTGAATCGTGAAAGGAGAGTTATTCCGCCGATTTCACGAATGGCATATCCTGGCAACATAGATACGTCTGGTGGACCAGCTCCCAAAGGTTTGGACGTGCTCACAACAAATTTAGGGTGTACTATCGACCTCCTAAACTTGTTATCGCTTGTCCCATCCGTCCAAGATTCCAACAGAATTTACTGTTATCTGGACGCATGAATGGGGACGAAGCAAGGATTCTCGTCGATACAGGCGCGTCGGTTTCCCTTGTTGATGAAACTTGGGTTACGACACGCAACGTCCTCGTTGTAGGACCGTCATGTCCCATCCGCTTGGGTGACGATCGTGTCATTCCAAGTAAAGGACAAACACATATCGACATGAATGTACAGGACTATAACGAAACAGTTCGCATGTATGTCCTACCACTTTTGTCAAGTGTCGACCTCATCCTGGGCATGGATTGGTTGCGAGTCAACGAAGTCATTCTGGACTTCCAGTACAACATTGTCTCGTTCAACAAGAACGGAAAGGCAATCCAGTGGCAAGTCAATGATACTTTGCCCAATGATTCACAGACGCCTGAACGTCCAAGCGCGATGTGTGTGTTGGCCAACCAGTTCGGGCATTCTGTTAGTCGGCTGATATACTGTTCGTGGTACAGCTTGAGAATGCTGAGGCCTCAAAGCCAGCAATTGAGGATTTCCCTCCTCATATGCAAATACAGGCAGAGGAATTTAAGGAAGTGCTTGAAACCATCCCTGATGGACTTCCGCCTGACCGCGCAGCGGGTCACACCATCCCTGTTGAACCAGGAAAGGTTCCACCCTTTCGACCTCTGTATCGCCTCAGTCCAGCTGTGTACGAGGAGGTCAAACAACAGATCAAGGAATTGAGAAGAATAGAACGAGAATGAAATGACTATGAATGAAGTGAGTACAAAAAGGAAACCCTAATGGGATTGTACCCCCTATGGGATACCCCACTATAGCCTACACAAATATATAAGCTATAATGTTCTGACACACCCCCATAGGCAAAGTGGGGGAGAACAAGGGGTCACAAGACCAGTCAAGCAAAGCAAAGCAAAGCTCAGGGTGGATCACAAAGTCACCACACATTCCGAGCACAAGTTCAAAGGCCAGAAGGCCAGTTCACATGCAAGATCACATATAGAGATATACAAGAGTCAAGCAAGCAAGACCAAGAGTATATATAGGTAAAGGTACAAGCAAGGTCAAGAAGAGAGCAAGTGAGGCAAGACAGGCACAAGACCCAACTGCGTGCAGCAGCGCTCATGATCACAAGGCGCAAGTGCCTTGGTGAAGACATCAGCAGTGTTGGCCTCAGAGGCCACGTACGCAAGTCGTAACTGTCCACGCTGCTGTAGCTCACGAGAAAGAAAGTAGCGGAGAGCAATGTGCTTTGTCCTGTGCTCCAGTCGCTGCTCTTGACACAAGGCCAGCATGGCCTTGTTGTCTACGTACAGGACTGGAGGAGAACGAGGCGGCTCTCCAAGGTCGG